TGTACCACCTTAATTATGACCAGACATACCATTCTTTTTATATGGTTTTGTTCATTTGTTAATGCAGTGCTTTTCACTGAGAACATTCCCTTCCTCTAACAAGAAAATCCTGCAAGAAATGAAGATTAGGATCATCACCACTTCCCTAAAGACTTCCCTAATCTCCATTGTCATAATTAATTACTCCTTTGGGAATATTTCTAACAGTCTACCTTGGATTATAATAATAATTACCTACCTCAAGTTATGTGTTACGTGCAGTTATGTGAAGATTAAGTGAGTATTTATAATTGTGCCTGGTGCTTATAAAATGCTCAGTAAATATTAACCATTATTACAATTAGTTGAGATTATGTTCTGCGCTTTAGATAGCAAGTTCCTTGAGGATAAGCATCACATATTATTAATCTTTTTATCTTCTATTCCAGTCACCCCCATCCCTAGTACCTTACTCAAAGTTGGCATTTGGTATGTATGCAGTGCTAGAGAGGAAGTGTTAACTATTGGACCTGGGCATAAAATGACTCAATTTATTCCAATTTTTTACTGACTCATTAAGCAATTTAGCATATTTCATTTTATTCTCTGCCTCAGTTTCTTTGTCTGTAATCGAAGTAATTTGCATATATGTGACAATATTGGTAACATTATGACAGATTACATGCTTTTCTTTTTATAAAAACATGACTGATAATAGTGAAAATAGATGACCTTGTACATAGGGCTGGCAATGGGTTTTGACTCACATTTTAACTTTGATCAATTAATTGGTAGTGAGGAAAATTATATTAAGAAGAGTTCTAAAAACTTAGTTGAAAAGTTGATCAATTATTCATATCTGCTGTAGACTTGCAATGAGAGAGTATAGGCATTTGCTATTCTTGACTACCTCATTTTAGTTCTGCTTGTAACAAATAGTACTGCTGCAGTCTATGGCTAGGGAATACATTTTATCTGTGACTATGAAGCAAAAAGAAGCTAACTGATCCATATGAGGATTGAATTTGTGACTGTAGCTTACCTCCTACCCCTCTCCTTTCATGAATACTGTAGTATGCTACTATGCTATGATAAAAGGATCTGAAATAAATAGGTATTCCTATTTAGCAGATGGATTATCAGGCAGAATTACCCTAATGGCAATTTATATTTATTGTACTAAAACAGTGACTAGAAAACTGCATGATATGACTATGTCAAACCATGTCTAAAAAGCTGTATAATATGAATATTAATAATTAGAAAATAAATTTTTTGCCATTTATCTTCAGTGAAAAAATATACTTTACTCTTTCAGCTTATAATTAAACAGTTTATTTTTATCAGGACCTTGTATGAAGAAAACAACAGTGCCTTCCTTCTAGGGTGCCCTACTTATATAGCATATAAAATATAGAAAATATGTAATTGTGTTATGTTAGAACACTTAATCTACTAACTTTGATATCATAACTTATTTCCCTGTACAGCAATAAGATCTTTTTAGCCATTCATTACCATTTTCATGTGCATTTTTTAAAAAAGGAGTTTTATACATTAAGTTAGATGTTATCTTTGAATGAGTTGCATGTATTTCTTACCTCCGATTTCTCAGGTTATTTCTCAGTCCTCGTTTTAGTTGATCAATCAGCATATTTTGACATGGATGATTTCTCTTCCCTCTTTGAAGCACTTTTAATATTTAGCCTTAGGATACTGTCTCCTCCTGGTTTCCTCCTATCTTTCTGGCCACTTTTTCCTAGTCTCATATCCCTGACTTTTAAATATTAGAGTGTCCCAGGACTCAGTTCTTGTACCTCTTCTCTTTTCTATCTTCACTTACTACCTAAATTATCTCATCCAGAGTCATGGCTTTACCGTTTATATGCTGATGGCTCCCAAATTTAAATCTCTAGCCCAGATGTCTCCTCTAAACTACAGATTCGTACATTTAGTTCCCTGATAGTTCCACTGGATGTCTAATGGACAACTCATACTAAACATGTCCAAAACCGAGTCCTGATATCTTCCCCTAGCCCCAGCTAAACCAACTCCTTGTGTGTTTCTTTATCTCAGGTAGCAACAGGTTCAATTTTCCAGTTGCTCACATCAAACCCCTTGGTAATTTCTTGACTCCGCTCTTTCACATCCTCTGTAAGGCCTATTATTTCTCTGATTTCATGTCTTATTACGCTTCTTTCATTCTCTCGCTTAGCCTCTTGTGTTTTATGAACTCTTCTTATGTGGTCCTGCCTCAAAACCTTTGTACTTGAACTTCTCTCTGCCTGTAAGAGTTCTTCCTCCAGATGTCTGCATGGCTAACTCCCTCACTTCCTTTGGGTCTTTACTTACAGAAGTCATCTTCTATCTAAAAAGTCAACTGCTCTCAACCTCCTGACATTTTATTCTTTTTACCTGCTTATTTCTTTTCTCCTTCACACTTGTCATTATCTAATATACTTACATATTTTGTTTATTATCTGCCAAATATTAGCTCCATGATAGCAGGAATTTTTATCTGTACTATTTACTGTAATATTGCAAGTGCTTATTGCTAGTCCTGGTATATAGTAGGTGCTCAATAAGTATGTGTTGTGTGAATAAATTTTTGAATAAGCTTCTTATTCTACATGAAATAGGAAAAAAGAAAATGGTAATTTTTCCATACCAAGAAGCTTTAAAGAGTAACTAATTATGTGATTTTTGGCCAGATACACTGTGGCCTCACACCTGTAATCCCAGCACTTTGGGCGGCCAAGGCGGGAGGATCACTTGAGGCCAGGAGTTCGAGGCCGGCCTTGGCAACAGAGAGCGATCCTGTCTCTACTAAATAATAAATAGATAAATAGCCTGGCGTTGTGGCACATGCCTGTAGTCCCAGCTACTCGGGAGGCTAAGGCAGGAGGATCACTTGAGCCCAGAAGTCTGAGGTTACATGATTTTCTTAAAGATTTAATTTTCATAAGTTTATAGTTATATGGGGTATGTTAGTTTCCTAGGGCTGCCATAACAGAAGTCCCACAGATGGCAGTTCTTAAACAACAGAAATGTATTTTCTCACAGTTTTGGAGGCTGAAAGTCCAAGATCCAGGTGTCAGCAGGGTTGATTTCTTCTGAAGTCTCTCCTTGGCTTGTAGATGTCTGTCTTGTCTCTCTGTCTTTCCTTCTGTGTCTGTCTGTGTCCTAATGGCCTCTTGTTATAAGAGTACCAGTCATATTGGATTAGGGCCCACCCATATGATTTACTTAATTACCTCTTTCAAGGGCCCATCTC